GTAGAAAAGCGCTCTGACCCCCACCCAGCATCTGGAACACTTGGAGTGGTGATGGACACTCAAGCCACAAAGCTTTACCTTCCTGTCAAAAAGGCCAGAAAGATCAAAGAGTAGGTTAACCAAATTATTCAAGCCAGGACTTCACCCTGACCAAGATGATGGGCCTCACGACGGTTGTGGCTTTTGACACGCTACAATGGGGAAGGTTTTCACTCCAGATAACTACAACTATTTTTTCAGCCATACCAAAACTCTATTGCCTTATAGATAGATCTTTCCTTGAAGTGGGCAGATGGTCCATAGTACCGCTCCAGGTGAAATTAAGTGCGCTGGTGGCCAAGTTGAACAATCTGTCTCAAGGCAAGTCCCTTTGGATGCAGGACCGGATCCAATTTTTTTCTGACACCAGTCTATCAGACTGGGGGGAGGGCACCTTACTCCATCAACCAGTGTAGGACAGATGGTCCATAGCAGAAAGGAAACTGCTGTTTAACCTCCTGGAGCTTCGAGCCATTAGGCAGGCCCTTCAACACTTCGCCCCTCAGATCAGGGGAAACCACATACTTGTTTGGATGGACAACAACTCAGCGAAGGCTTACCTCAACAAACGGGGGTTCCAGGTCCTTAGCCTTACACAGGGAAGCAACTCAGTTATCGAATTGGGCAGAATCCAATCTGACATTGATCAGGACAGAGTATGTGAAGGGAGTCATCAACACCCAAGCAGATTGGCTGAACAGCCAGACAGTCCAGGAGGGCGAATGGTCCCTACACAAGAGAGTTTGTTTTTTCCGGCTCAGAGTGGCAACACTGGGAAGTCCACAGTAGACCTATTTGCCTCTCTGCTCAACAACCAACTGGACAGATTTTACATCAGATATTTTCATCCCCAGGCCGAGGCCACGGATGCCCTTCTGTTCCCTTGGCCCGAGGGGCTCCTCTATATGTTTCCTCCTCTTCCTGTACTTCCCAAGCTTCTCTGGAGGATACAAATTCTAAGGGCAGAGATCGTAGTGATGGCACCATACTGGCATAGTCATCCTTGGTTCACGTCACTACAGGAGATCGTGGTGACTCCTCCTCTAGCCATTCCGGTCTCAGAAGACATACTGCTTCATGGTTCAGTTTGGCATCCCAGGCCAGGGTGGTTCTGCTTACCCACATGGAGATTGAAAGGGACAAGCTATCAAAACTAGGCTACAAAGAGTCAGTCATCAATATGATATGGCCTCTAGAAGGCCGTCTACCTCAAGGATCTACAATACTATTTGGAAGGCCTTTGTCTGGTGGGCTCAGCGGAAGACGGCTGACCCATTGCATCCGGAAATTAGATCACTACTGGAGTACCTACAAGGATGGTCTGGTAAGCGGTCTCAGGGCAGTGACCCAAGAAACACATGTGGCCCTGGCTTTGGTCCTGCCCCGGTACAATTGTCTTAACATCCCGCAGCACCCTCACATTCGCCGTTTCCTCAGAGGGGCATTATTCAAGGATTCTCCACAGAGACATAGGTTTCCAACTTGGAAGCTTAATACTGTTCTCACAGCTCTTATGAAGGAACCCTTTGAGCCGATATAGCCATTATGCTCAAATTCCCGAGGATGAAAACTTTGTTCCTGGTAGCCATTACTTCAGCCAGGAGGATTTCGGAACTAGGCACTCTGTCAATTCAGTTGGAGCTGTGTTTTTCACAAAGACAAGGTAGTTCTGAGAACAGATTCCACCCTTCTGCCCAAAGGTCAATACTATGGCCCCGGTCACACGGGCAGGAAACTGCGGGGGAGAAGCGTGGCTGTTTGCCCTGGGGCAAACTACAGCGCAGTTACTCGATCAGACCTCCCGTGGAGGTACCGTGGAGGTTCCATGGCAAGGGAGAGGTGCTGATCACAGGACAAGCCGGCGCGCAACGAAGAAGCGCGCACCGCGGCAAACTGTTTTGTTTTTGTGTGTACACGACGAATGCGCATGCTCCAT